AATGATATAAGAGAAACTAGAGAAACTAACATCCTAGTCAAAGGAGACTTTCTAAGAATTCTTCTATAAACCTCTTGTTTTAGAAGTAGTGATACAGACATCAAGAGATAAAAATAGTTTTATTAAATGGTACATATGTGAAAACATAAGCCATTTCTCCTTTTCCTCGATCCTGCACAAATTATCTTTGGTAAAGAACTATTACCATATTCTAGACACTTGGTTAAATTTCCATGGATTGTTCTATTAAATCTAACATGCCAACTCTGAGAGATGTGCCCACATTGTGCAAATCTAAAATTACCTCTGATTCTATGCCTTTTTGACGTGGGATTTCCCTCTTCATTATGTGAATACCATTCGTTAATAAAGAAACTGCTTGGAGCCTAAGCAGAGCAGGGCAGAACAGAGCAAGGTGGGGAAAACTAAACCGAATGCTGGGAGAAAGAAGGCAGAGTCAGAGAGAAGTCATGTAGCCCCACTGGAGACAGATGCCAGAACTTTAACTGTTAAGCCACAGCCACAAGGTGATATAAAGATTAATAAAAATGGGTTAAATTAATATGTAAGAGATAGCCAATAAGAAGCTAGAGCTAATGGGTCAAGCAGTGATTTAATTAATATAGTTTCTGTGTGGTTATTTTGGGAGTCTGGACTGCCAGGGAAACAAACAAACGGCTGTTCCTACAACAGGTTTTCCTGCATTCACACTGTGCACTGTGACTTACACCTGCTCAAAACGAAATTGATTCTATTTGTCAAGTTATATGGCTTGACTTTACCAACATTAACAAAAAAGTTAAGCACTCTTGAGAGACTTTCCATAGAGGTTAGATAGCTAGTAAATACCCAGCGAGATGAGGGGCCCTTTGAAAGAAGGGTAAATAGTGAATATAAAGAGAGAAAGAGGAAACTAAAATGGAAGGATTAAATGAGGAGGGAAATGGAAGGACAAGGTAGAAGAGAGAATATGGGGAGAGACACTAACATTAAAAGTCATATGGACACCTATTACTCTAGAAGCTTCTTAAAATACATTCACATATACATATATATATGGAATTTAAATGGAGATACCATATAATGGGGGAACAATACACCAACTAGACAACTATACACCTTATACCACCAAGTCGACCCCCCTGTACCAGGAATGAGTTACATCTTGTTGAGTCATTGGCCAAATGGATTCCATAAACCCTGCCCCCAAACATCACAGGCTATATAAAGGCTATTGGTTACTCTCCATAACCTGATAACAAGGCCCCATTACTGAAGACACAACTTACTGACGTCATTGACCATGGAGAAACTGAGATGGTGCCAAATTAGAAGCTTTATTAGATTAGCATTCACAGTACTGGAAGGTACTTGCATGGTGTCAGAGGAGAAAACTAAGCATTGATATCACCCAGCTACAAACCACAGGGTTTGTAAATATACTAGTGGGTTAGTGGTACTTATATTATGGGAGTAATCAAACACTTTTGATTAGATTTAGGACCAATTTCATGATATGGACCTGACACATAAAGTGTTCAAGCCCCTTAGACCTGATAGATTATATGCCCTAGCTGAAAATTTACTATTATTCTGCTAAAAGAATATAGCAAAAATAAAAAAGACTACTTATACTATACACTTATAGATAAGAATATCACTCAGCCCTCAATAGAGAAGTTTTTTCTTGTAGTAAATGATCATTAATACAGAGACCCATAACTAAAAATGTGAAGAGAGTAAAAGACTTTGAACCACCCAGCCCTAAATAAGATGTCAAATCCCTCTCCTTGACGCTCATGGATCTGTGCAAAAGAGAAGGTGGCAAGAGTGTGTGAGCCAGCGTGGTGGATGACTCCCAGAAACAGTGTCTTCTTGATATAACAGGACTGATAGATACAGGACGTCACAGTCCATGAAGACTGTGACAACATGCACAAGATCTACACAAGTTCAAACAAACAAACAAACAAAATCCCAGCACTGAGAAGGGGAACTGGCCAAGAAGCTATTTGCAGTTGCTGCCTGCTGGAAAGGGAAAGGAATAGATCTATGCCCAGGAGTAGCTGGACAAGACAAAATAGACTCCATCTTCTATGTGTGCACTTTTCATTTTGTCTTGGTCTGTTTTTGTCTTCCTGGGTGTTTTGTTTGCTTTGGTTTTGCCGTTTGGGCGCTTGGGACATTTTTGAGAGAACGTTGTGTGAGTAGGGTAGTGGGTAGGATCTTGAAGGAGTTGGGGGAGGGAAAGAATATGATCAAAATATATTTATAAATAAATATATATTCTAGTTTCTAAATAGAGGGGAAAAAAAGGAGAGCTAATTCAATTAGTATCTCAAGAACCGGGCTAAGAAACCACCCTTAGGGACATATGGATTTCCCTGGGAAGGAGAACTAGAAGAGATTTCCTTGGTATACTGGGTGACAGTGGGTATGAGAACATGAGGGGTTGGCTCACAACCATCTGTAATGAGATATGGTTCCCTCTTGTGGCCTGCAGCATACATGCAGACAGAACACTGTATTAGTAGTTAATAAATGAAGCAAAAATCATTAAAAAATTCTATGTCACAGACTCCTTAAATGTATTTCATTTATTTTTGTCTTTGGCATCTATCAAAATGTTGTGCTAATGTTATTATTTTTAGTGAACATTTGGTTAGGAGTTTATTGATGTCATGGCTCCTTAATCTCTGAATTATAAAACCTTTAACCCAAGAAATTCTAACCCCAAAGCCATTTTAAGAGATGAAATAACTTCTCTTTAAATTTCCTTATGACACTTTCCCCCAGGGCCTGTTAACTTTTTAATTACACTTGAGTTTGTCTGTTCTAGCCTGGGTAACCCACTCATCGGTCAGATGCACTTCCACAGATAAAACGGTCACTCTGGTCAGCTTTCAGTCAGAGATTCTAGGGCAGGCAGGTCAATCTCCAGTCATTACATTTGGAGTTGAAAATTCTGGTATTCATGTTGGAAGCAGGGGGATGGAGTGTAAGCTGCAGAAGCCAAATAGCTGTGAAATAAGCTGTGAGCTTCCAAATCTACAGAGTCTTAGCCTTCTTAACAGAAGTCTTCATAAGTGGTTTACTCAGATTTCATCCAAGCTCACGAACACTGTGGTGAGGAGGGGTGAGCGTTTTGAGAGAGTTGCTTAATATTTGACATGACAGGGCCATGTCATTTGGATACATATTGATGTTTTCTGAGAACTCTAGTTCTACGACCTATGTATTTTCTTTTTCCAGTAAAGGGGGAGGACACATACATCCTAGCAGTCTACCCCTCCCAGGATTTCAACTCCTCCTACCCCACAGCAAACAGGGCTCAGCTGCTTCCCACACTCTTCAGTGTGGTTCCTCTATGTGGTGTCTCCACATCCTCAGATAGTACCTATCTAGTACTAACACACAAGAAATGGAGTCACCAAAATCCCAGCTCTGTGTTCCCTCCTGAGATGCCATCTGTCTTACTCAATACCATGTAACCTTCCTTAGATGATGGAGCCACTCTGCTATTCTTCCAGGACCCAGACCAGATACTTTGCATGTCACGTTTTCTGTCTAGAAAAACTCTCTTCCATGTATATGCCTGGACTAGCCCTTCAGCTCCCGACTCAAATGCTGCCTTATCAGTCAGTGTGTTAGTCTTTTCCTGCCAAGTCTATTTAAATTTCTCGGTACATTCTTTATTCTTCTCCAACCTTGAACATCTTTTTCCCCAATACTAATATTAGCTTTCTCATAATCTCTTCTTGATACTTAATATACTAAATATTCTGCAAACTTACTGTATTTATGGTCTGTGCCCCCCTTGTGGAAGGCTAGCTCCAGAAAGGCTAGCATTGTTGCCATTTTTATCCAACATTTGTTTGAATTGTTTACTTAGCAAACAGAAATACTAATAACTATTTGTTGAATGAATCCACAAATGGATGAAGTAGATTTTTCCTTTTGAGGTGATAAAAATTATGGCGTTGATTATGGTGATGGTTGTTCTTATCTGTGAACGTACAGAAATTGTGCACCTTATGAGTATGTGAGAAAACATTCTTGAAGGAGAGAATTCAACCATCAGTCTAAATATGGGGGTGTACATACTCTGCATGAGCAATAAGCACAAAGCAATCCCTTCATCATGACATTGGTCTGGAATGTGAAGTAGAAGAGGCATCTACGCAATGGTTAGGGTGCAGGGACTCTACAGGCAAATGGCCAATGATGAAATCACGGATGTACCAATTTCTAGTCGGAACACCTCGGAAAAGTCACCACATGGAAAATGTGCTGAGAATCCCAAATCTAATGAGTGCTTTTGGGGAACCAAACAGAATTATGATTCTTATAAATGGCTTAGCAGAATATATGGCCCAATAGTGAGTGTTCATTGCACAGCTGTTGTCTTCAGTGCTGTATTCTGGAGTTTGAGCCATAGTTTATTGGAGAAGATCAGATGGCAGTAGTTGAAGCTGCAAGAACGTCATTATTTAGTATTAAAATTAATTTGGACTCTCTTGGGTCTTTCGAGGCAAATTCTTACTTCCTCCTTCCCCAATACCTTCTAAAGCATTCTTTTACTGTATCAATCTTTAAAAATTAATAATTTAAATTGTGATGTATATTTTTATACGTATGTATGTATCTTATACTGTGTTCATGCAGTGCTAGTGGGTTTCAGAAAAGGCATTGCATACCCTGGAACTGGAGTTACAAGCAGTTGTATGATGTGGGTGCTGGGAACAGAATCCAGACGTCGGGAAGGCCAATCAATGCTCTGAGCTGCTGAGCCATCTGACTTGCCTGTCACAGCATCTGTCTTACTTCAGTGGTCTGCAACCAAAGCATCTCGCCTCAAACTGTGGAGCTTGTTAAAAGCACCTCTTTCAACTTCACATTTAAGTTCCAGGTCCTCAAAGTAAAGTTCTTGGAACAGAACTATCATTAACAGCCTATTCTATGGAAGAATGCTGAACAAGGATTTAGAATAAGGCCTTTGTCTGAGTTTTAAACCAGGCTCAGGATCCTGATTTATGCTTTCAGTTGAGAATAATTGGCCAAGAAGAATATGATTTTGGATAGGTAAGTCATGTGATTCTGACTTTTTAATTTTATATTGTCATGGAGGATCCAGGATGAAGACAAAGGCATTCCACTGAATCACCTATTACACAGCACATTTTCTCTTTTCTTTTATAGTTTAGGTTAGCATATAAAATAAGGGGTTTCATTATTACATTGTCATACACATGTATCACTGTGTTTTGTTTATATTCAATCCTCCTGTCTTCCTCCATCCTTCTCCCCCAACCCTAGCTGGTCCTTTACTTCCTCCCCAACAGTATCTCCTCTGCTTTCATGCACGTATATGTATGTGGCTTCTTCACAAATGTAGCTCCTGTCTATGAGAGAAACAAAGTATTTTGATTCTTTCTCTGTTAACCTTCCTTATTCTACTTTTCCCTTTCCCCTTTAGAGTCCATAGACTGCTTTCATGTACCATTTTTATATTTAAATCTAGACTGGACACATGAGATAGAATATGTGGTATGTCTTTCCAAGTCTCGCTAATTTAATTTAACATGATGATCTCCACCATTTTCCTGTATGTGGAATAACTTAATTCTTCTCTACGGCCTAGTACCACTGTGTATATTTACCACATTTTCTCTAGACATTCATTCTCTGATGGATACCTTGGCTAGTTCTCATCAACTGTTCTAAATGGGAAAAATGATATGGGATGTCCTTCAGTATATATGCTGCTTTTATTGGTTGATGAATAAAGATGTTTTGGACAATGAATTAGCAGAGTAAAGCCAGGTGGGAAATCTGAACACACACACACACACACACACAGAGAGAGAGAGAGAGAGAGAGAGAGAGAGAGAGAGAGAGAGAAGGCAGAGTGAAGGAGACTTATGCAGCTGCAAAAAGAGAAAGATGCCAGAACATTACCCATAAGCCACAGCCTTGTGGCGATAATAGATTAACAGAAATGGGTTAATTTAAGATGTAAGAACTAGCTAGGAGTACGCCTAATACATTGGCCAAACAATGTAGTAATTAATATAGTTTCTGTGTGATTATTTGGGTCTGGGCAGTCAGGAAACAAACACACAGTCTCAGTTTACAGGCAATGATAAATATGAATGTACAAGTGTCTCTGAGATTCCTTTGGGCATATGAGTCATATGGTAATCCTAATTTTAGTTTGCTGACAGGATCTATGTACATAGTGGCTCTACTGGTTTACCTTCCCAGCAACAGTGCATGCACACTTGTCTTTCCCCATATTCTCACTGGTTTTTGTCTCCACGTCACTAGCCATTCTGACTAGGGGAAATGGAATCTCAAAATAGCTTTAATTTGCCATTTCCTGACTGCTAAAGATGCTGAAAATTTTTTAAAAATATATTTATTGGTTGTTTATATTTCCTTTTTTGAAATTGCCCATTCAATTCCTTTGCCCATTCATTGATTAGATGGTTTATTCTTATGGTGTTTAAACCGTGCAGTTCTTTATAGATTCTAATTTGCTGTTCAATGTATAATTTGCAAAGATCTTCTTCCTTCCATAGGCCGTCTCTTCATATACAGTGAATTTTCTTATGCGTACAGACTCATAACACAGAGATGGTAGTTCTATGAAACCATTTCTTCAACACACTACTCATTTCAGCCAAGGTTATTTATATCCTTTGTTTTTTAGCATTAGCTTGTTTCCAAGGCTAGTATTTTATTACTAAATTAAATTTGTGTGTCTCTCTGTGTATAACTAAATGTTAAATATCCCTATTATTTATTAAAGCATCCAAAACAGTTATCAAGAATTTCATAATCCACGAGAAAATATTTTGGCAGACACACCTTATCACTAAAGAAGAGGGTGTCTTTTGCTTTCACAGGTAGTCCTGAGGCTTTGACGGAAGAACAGGACAGTGGGCAGCATACGGTAAGGTTTTGTTGGGTTTGTTCTTGAAAAGCTCAGTGTTAGAGAAGTAGAAGTGAAAACTTACTTGCAGCACATGTGAAGGAGGAGGGTCATCTGTCGATGTGTTACTTTCATTGGTAAATAAAGAGACTGCCTTGGCCTTTTTGATAGGCCAGCCCTTAGGTGGGTGGAGTAGACAGAACAGAATTGTGGGAGAAAGAAAGCAGAGGCAGGCAGACGCCATGGCTCTCCTCTCCAAGATGGAGGTGGGTGAGAATCTTCCTGGGAGGCCACGACCTCGTGGTGATATACAGATTATTAGAAATGGGTTAATTAATATGTGAGAGTTAGCTAATAAGGGGCTGAAGAGAATGGGCCAGGCAGTGTTTAAATGAATACAGTTTCCGTGTAATTATTTCGGGTAAAGCTAGCTGGGCGAGTGGCAAAACACAGCCCGCCGTTCATTCTACACACATGCTTCATTTTTGAAAGAATTTTTTTTAACTTCCTTGTACTATCCCAAAGATCCCCTTCTTCCTTCCCTGTGTTATCCCAAAGATGCCCCTAAACTAAGATAACCTGACATCCCAAAATAAGCCAGGAAGGGCAAAAGCAAACAGAGCTCTGTGAATGGAGCAGTGGAATGTATCAAGCCTGCAAGGGGCACTAGTGTGGCGGGCGCTGGGTAGACTCTGCTCCCTCCATGCTGACACCTTTCACTTCTGCACGGTGCCCTAAGAGTCATCTGAGAGCAGCCAACATTTGCTCCTCCAAAGAGCCCTGCAGCTGCACACACGCAATCCGTGCTCCTCGGCTTACCAGCTTAATGTGCTCTCGCTTCTGGTACTTCTCACTGTAATACTGTTCTTGCCGGAGGTTGAGCAGCTGCTGTTGCTGCTTGTCCTTCAAGTCTATTAACTTCTGGGTCATTTCTGCATCCAGGGCAGCGAGGTCTTGCTCAATGGCCGTTGAGCCATGGTCAGGGCTGCTGGGTTCAGATCTGCAAAGACACAGAATGTAGCTCAGGAACAAAGTAGGTGGTAAGAAGTGCTTGGAAGGTTCTGGAATGACTCCTCCCAGGGTCACTGGGCTTGGGAAGAGACTAAGCCACTCGAAGGAGAAAGTGACAAACCAAATCCAGATAGAAATTATCTTGGCATGAACTGCTTTTCACATTATATGGCGTGTTCAGGGGAGATGGTGGATGAGTGAGAAATCATGTAATAAACACAACACTTGGTGACTACTTTGAGAGAGATGTAGGATTTACTGATGGATTAAGGAAAATGAGAGGTGGGAAGATATAGCTAGGACTTCAAGATCTTGGCTTCTCCTGATACACCTTTAGATGTTAGTGTTTTGGAACTTTTTTTTTTGCTATTTTGAGTGATAGTCTAAAAAATATAAACCACATGGTAATGCTTCTACATCTTCCATAAAAACACAGTCAAAGCCACTACAGGGCTGTGGTGATCTGGTACTGAGAAAGCATTTCTCTCATGGAAGAATATACAAGTTTGTTTAATCAGAGAGGTAGAATTATCTGACCTATATTTCCCTTCTTAGAGGCTAAGAGTTTAGTTCAGGGTTCAAGGACAGAAACTGCATCAAAAGTTGGTGCTGTAGTGCAGAAATACAACGTGATGTGACATTTTACCATGCTTGTCGTTTAAAGCCTGTAGTAGCCGTCCTCAAAAGAGAAGTAATACTAATTTTAATAAGATATATTATAGGATGGGAATGATGTGAATGGCATTCTTGAGCCTGAAACAGGTTAGTTGTGAATCTGAGTGCTATTTTAGCTACACAGTAAGCCCTGGATGCAAAGTATTTATTGTGTGTGCATGTGTTAATTTAACCAATTAGAACTCAACAGATGTTAACAGTTGTTTCAGTTTTCTTTATTAAAGTCCGAGAAATCTGTTGCATAATACACAGTTTGAGCACATCGTTGAACTGATAAAATACACTTTTTCCTTGCCCAGATTAAATGTGGATTTTCCAACTGAGCCACACCCCAGTTCAAATGACCTATATTTCAGGGACCTACTAGCCACATGTGTCTCATGGCTCTTCTCTCTCTCTCTCTCTCTCTCTCTCTCTCTCTCTCTCTCTCTCCGTGTGTGTGTGTGTGTGTACAGGAGGCATGGAGGTTCCTGTGCTCACAGATCAGCACTAGGAAGAACCTGGAATGTTAAATACATAGGGTTGTTCTTTCAAAGAAACATTTTCCCAGAAGGCTGGATACAGATGTACCATGATACTCATGACCTTTGTGCTATTTGTGTGGCTGAGACAACACAAGGTCCTCCCCCAGGCCCTTATCGTAAGTTTGTTTTGCTCAGCCAGTCTATAAATTCATCTTTATGGAAGATGTGGCACGTACTTTACAGAGATTCGGTGAAATAACATTCAATCTTTATTTAGTTATTTTGTGCTTTATTGTGCCAATGGGGTTGGGTCAATTATCAACAAAAAAGTTTTCACCAAATTGTGCTTTGCTTAAATAGGCCTTCAATAGGCTATTTGTGGTCATGAAGATTGAACCAGTGTTGCTACTTAGTCTTGTGGAACTGAACCACTTTCTTGCCTCCTGTGCATCCTTACTCTGCTGGCCATGGTGGTCACACAGACCCTGCTTGTGTGTGTGTGTGTGTGTGTGTGTGTGTGTGTGTGTGTGTGTGTGT